GGCCATGCCATAAAAGATGTGCTATAAAGCCCATAACAATATAGAATATTATGATACAATATTTAGTCCAAATAAAATTGGTGTGGTTCAATTTGGGTATGACTTTTTACAAATATGGGTTAAAGCTTTGAAAAGACGTCATGGGGTATGTAACCACTTGTAATATCTGAACCATATCTGAATTTTAGTAAACAGACATTCTTTGTAGAAACCTTTTTTATTTTTTGTTAGGTGAGATAAAAAAAAGAGTCTATGTTGTTGTTGAAGGCTTAGGTTCTCTTGGTCGACCAAACTAACTCACCAAACATATGTCCCTATTCCCATAACGAATCCTAACCATCGCTCTAATCTAATAAGTATATATTATATAGCACCACCAATCCTGAATCATTTAGTCTTGTTTTCTTATATTTAATTTTATTTCACTAATTTGTTTATTAAACGTCTAAACAATTGATAACCAAGTGGACAAATTTTTGTAGTCATCAATCATGCAAACCTTTAAATGTCATATTCGGTCGATTCGATAGGTAGTGGCTGCCATTTCTGATTTGGACCTCACTATAAACCAAGGATTATCGTTTCCTACCATCATTGAATTTTAACTAACTTAATTATCTATATCATCTAAAAAAGTTAGTTAAAGTGTCATTATTAAAAAAATAGTTAAAGTGGCATACGAAAATAATACTAATAAATAATTTTACGTGAAAAAAAAAACACAGGGGATCTAGTAGTACTTACAAAGAGAGCCAAGTATGAACAACAAGAGGCGCCTCTATAAGCATTAGAATTGCATTCTGGAAAATCTGATTCATCTTCTAATCTTCTATTTCTTCTTCCTCCATTTCCTAACCTCGATATTTGTATATTATCTCTGTTCATAAATTAAATGAAAAAACTTTTTTTATTCGTTTTGGATTGTTGTTGTTAATTTTAGGAATCAGAATAATAAAGAACATGTCACGCTACGCGTGAAGGATTTGAATATTTGGGGAATAACAATATTAATAGCTGGACTCTTATAATCTTCAAAGGTTAATCTAAACTTTGTTTTTGTTCTCTACTAAAATTAATTACCTGATTGTGACTTCTGTTTCAATAAGTCGAGATGGTTTTGAAGTTGTTGTATATCCAGGTTTATAATCCTGCAAATATTACAAATTTATCACTCTTGTTAGTTAATTCTGACTACATTTATACAAATAGACAATCTGGTTTGGTTTCACTCAAGTTTAAAACGTGAAACTAAAGTACTAAACCAAAATACATTATAAATCAAATTCCTAATTTAAATGGACTCATTATAAATCTCTTTTAATTATTATAAGTTCCTAATTTGTCGAGCCAGAAATAGAAAAGTACGCCCTCCAAGTTTTGTATGGGTCCCATGCAACGATGGATCCAGTTACTATTTTTGTTCTTAACCGCTTGTATTTCATTGAAATTTATAAATAAAAACTCGAATAATGATATACTCTATCATTAACAGGATGGCATTTGCTCATTGATTACGATATTTTACAAGAATCGAATATTTTTCTTTTCTAATTATGTGCCAAAGCTTATGTGACACGAAGGAGAAAGTTTTCGATACACGTATCATTTTTTTTGTAAAAGAAAAAAAATAGATAAAACTTGCAAGAAACAATGACGTATAATTATTGAAAATGCAAAAGACAATTTGAATTTTGAGAGGATATGAAAAAAATAAAACAAAAATTATTTATCAAACCCAAAATCATTTCTGGAAAAGTAATACGATTGAATAACAACAAAAAAAATTCGAAATTTAATGAGTATAATAATTTGAAAATTGGAATTGTAATCAAACCTGGAGACAAATTTCACAACTCGTGTTTCCTTTCTCATCGCACCATCGTTGTATGCAATCTCTGTGAGCGAACTGGGAAAAATCAAAAATTGTTTCTTTTTTTCATATGAGAATTTCAAATTAAACAAGATTCTTACAAAACTCAATAGAAAGATAGCTAATTTCGATACCTTGATGGTTCCTGAGCAAGAACAAGGAGCTTCAAAGTAACTCTCTGTTTCTTCTTCGTGACAGATTCTACACCGAGAGAAACTCGATTTCTTATCGATATCTCCAATAAAAATTACTACTTCTCCCATATCTTTGATGTTTCTTCTCTGCTTTTGGATTAAACCGAAAAAAAACTCTCTAAGCTCTGTTCTGTTTTTTGTTTTCCTCTGAAGAACATAGAGAAAGAGAGAGTCCAACTTAAAAAGGTGTTCGTAAGCAAGAGGAATTTACAATTTTACCCTTTTCCCTCTGTTTTCTTTTTTAGATAAAATAATATTCTTTGTTAATGGTCCTCCTATCCTAATGTGATTATCATTTTACTAATATTGTAAGCTGTAATAACAATTTTCCAATAGTGTAAGCTTTGACCGTTGGCTGTAAATTTGTTTTGAATGTTGAGATAGTTGTCTTTTTGAGTTTTGACTGTAAATTCATTTTAAACATTTGTAAAAACCTAAATTGGACTAAGACAACTATAACCTTTGTTTAACTAAAAAAACTCTTCGATAGAATACCTTCTTTATTTTTAAAAAAATCTAACATTCTCAAAGTATAAAAATAATGAAAATTTGCATACATAACAAACAAAAATTCTATAATTACAAAACTAACCATTTATTCTATATTTATTGGCTAAGATTTAGCCACATAGGACA